GGACAGTCTCTCCCCAGTCTCACTCCCTTGCCTCCTTGCAGGCTTCTGGCAAACATCCCTCTTCTGTGAGAACCCGGCTCTCCCACCATGACCGTCCTGCTCGCTGTGGTACCCCAGGGCTGAAACCTGGACACATGCTCAAAAAATGCCTCGTGAGCCAATAAACCACACTGGCCTGCACTGCTGAGCCTGGGCACAAGACCCAGCACTGGAACATCCACTCTCTGCCCTCCTCTTGGCACTTCTTTTTCCTGCCACCATCACATGCTGGCTAACAGTCCACCAGCGAAGTTTCACCCAACTCAGAGTGATACCCCAGCCACCATCTAGAAGTGGCATGGGATGTCGGGAGATGCCCACTAGCCGTCCACCCAAGTTAGACCGTCTGGGGATCCCTCCTCTGGGGTCCAGGTCACGGGACAATTTAGGCCTGAATCAGGCTTCACCTGGAACCCTCACATGCCAGAGCCTCCTGGAGAGGCACACACGCAGCCACAGGAGCACCTGCTTCCAAGAAGGAACAAGCTGCAATGCCCAGTGTGCCCACAGAAGTGACCCACAGCTCGAGCCGCTTGCCCATCACTGCTGACCACACTCACCTCACCAGCATCACTTGGGGGCAGGGGAGGGGCCTCTGGGCTCTGGACACCCGCACTTCTGCACCGGTGGGGAGGTCAGGAAAGCCCCGTCTTCACAGGCCTCTGCGGCAGCTGGCAATGGCCTTGCTCGCCAGCCAAACCAGAACCGTGGTCAGGGCGGCATAGGAAGTATCATTTGAGAAAGTCAGCTCAGCGTTGACTCCCAACTGCTTTCAAATTACACCTCTGCCGACAACATTAAGCTCTGAGCAGATTTTTAAAAATAAAAATAAAGAGGAGGGTGACCACCAGGCAAACTGAGTCGAGCCCTTTCTAAGCAGCCTAGTCCAGCAGACAAGCACCGTCCTCTCCGCAGAGCCCCTCCTCTCCCCGCCTCAGCCGGATCGGGCTGCCTGTGGCTCCTCTGAAAGCAGACGAGGCCAGCAGTTGAGCCTCCGACATGATGATGCTATGGGAGGGAACTCTCAACCCCAGGCCTGGGGCTGCCCCGCATGGCAGGACCTGTCTATGAGAGGCGATGGTACACCTGGATGGGCAGGTGTGCCAGCTCAGCACCCAGGACAAATGGGGCACCCACAGCCATGGGAGAGGTGCCAAGGCACATCAACAGCAGGTGGACCTGGCCATCCTCGGAGGACAGCGAGGGGACCAGCACGTTTAGCATGGCCGCACACAACAAGCCCCTACGGGCATTAAGAGAACACAGGCGGGTGAATGAGACACAGAGGTCCGGCTGGGGTGAGCTGAGTTGGGAACACATGGGTCCTCAGTGGCCACACAAAGGAGATGCCAGCAGGTCACACATCATCAGGTCTGTGATCCCCACACCCACAAGCCCCGCTCTGGCCTGGAGCACAAGGCCATGGCCGCCCCCATGGGGGCCCAGTCACCTCTGGGCAGTGCAGAGCCGCAGGAGGACAGTCATCACGGCACCTGGGGGAGCCAGACACCTGTCCCTGGCTGGCCGGGGCTCCGGCCCCATGGTACCTCTTTAGGACTTTCATACCCCTGCGAAGGCCCTGCAAGTACTCCAGACAAAGGGACAAGGACTTGTACCTCCCTGAGGCAAAATGACCCCCACACTGGGCACAGGCCAGGACATAGTGTGGGAAACATGAATTCTGAGTGGAATCCCCCAAGAGGCAGTGCCCAGCCTTGCAACAGCCGCTCACAGCAGTCTTCGGTGAGGAGGGGGTAGCACAGAGGAGCTGAGATCCGGTCTCCCTTGAAGGCAGGGGACTGCTGATGGGAGGGGGCAGCACTGACCAAGGAGGCTAAAAACCAAGGCTCTCTCCAAGCTCCGAGGAAGACAGAGGAGAAGCAGGTGGTCAGGAGGAGCCAACAAGGCTGCCTCCGACGAGGCTCCTGGACACTGGCCGGGATCCGGGTTGGCTGCATTTTCTCTACTCGGAGACCCACGCCTTCGGCTCAGAGGCATCAGCAGGTGAAAGAGGGTGCCCTGAGCCACCTGGGGCAGGGCTGGTGGCCCAGACCTCCCCCGCTCCCCACCCAGGCAGCCCAGAGCCGACCAGGAGCCCCCAGCTATTTCATGGGGACAGGATGGGGTCTGTGAGGGGCGGGAGCTGGCCGTGGGGACAAGGGAAACGTGAGCCAGGGTGAATGCAGTGGATCTGGGTGTGTTCGCACTCCCCTGTTGCCACTGTAACGTGCTCTGGTGCCAGAAATAAATGGTTCATTCAAAAGGAAACAGAAGGGAAGGTAATACTTTAAAATGGCTTCCCCCCAAAGAATCAATGTCAGCTTTGAACGTCTGGAGAATTCAGGACGTGGAAACACCTCGCTGCCCTTGGCTGTGATATGAACACATACAGCTCTTTCTGCAAAGCTCTTTCAACACTAAATTATGTAAGGAAATTAGAAGTCAGGGACCTCACATTCTCCAAGCCGGACTTATTAGGTCCAAAAATGCGGCCTTTCCTTCCCTTGGCAGGGAACCCTGGAACAAGCAAGCGAGTGACACTGTCACAGTTCTGGGGCAGGCCTGCGGGTGCTGACAACCCCCTATGGTCCCAAGGGTCGGAGGAGGAAACAGACTTTGGAAGGTCGATTTTCAGGGCATTCCAAACCTGCCGGCTGAGGGGCTTCTGGAGGTTGGGGAAGAGAGGGTGGGGGTCAGACGGCAGGAGGAATCCTGCAAAGCTCCTTGCACCGAAGGCAATACTCCTGTCAACTCGTCCTCCACTGGGAGCCCCGATGCCTGGGAATTCTGGGGGCTGGGTGGAGGCTGAAGGTCTCCACACTGTGCACTAGGAAACCCCCTTCCCCGGCACAAAGCCAGCAAGCCACCTGTTGCCCTTCCTGGTGGTCCAAGAGGCCCAACGTGGTGCCCTGCTCTCCACCTTCATCTCCTCTCCTAAGGACAGTCACGCCAGGCTGGTGGCCTCCTCCCATCATGCTGCAATCCCCCTCTGCCATCTACATCCTCGCAGGTGACCTTGGAAGGTTCTCAACAATAAAACAGGGGAAACGACAGCCTCCCGTTTGGTGAGGAGGAGGATGCTACACAGCAGGCTCTTAGCTGCTGTCCTAAGCTGGGTCCTTCTGGGGTAAAACCCTCTCAGACCTGCCCAGCAAAAGGCAACTGACCCTAAATGCTGCACATCAGAACGGCTTCCTGGCTGGCTTGGGGCCCCCGGTAACTACTGTATAAGAAACATAACCAGACAGATTAGAAGCCAGCTCCCACCTTCCCACTCCTACCCAGAGTTCAGGACTAGAAGCCCCCTGGACAGCAGCCAGGCTCCGCTCTGGTGCCACTCTGCTTAGGGACCTGGGGGCAGAACAACCTGTCTTGCCTTAAAGGGAGTGGGGATGAACAGCCTCCTCCGAGGGTCACATGAGCCTGCAATGCCTCAACCAGATCAGCTGGGCTCTGCTGCTCAGGTCTAACCCAGCTCCCGCCTCCTGCAGCACCCCGACTCCCACCCTCCACCCTGCAGGGGCATTCCGCGGCAGAGCCTCAGTGGGTGCCAGCAGTGCCACACTAGGTCACTTGGCAAGAGCAAGAAAGTGGGGAGGGAAGGCACATGGCCACGCTGTAGAATTAGGAACCCCTCCTCCCTCTCTGGTCTTCCCTTTCTGGGTCCTCTGTGTTCACACGCTGCAGTGATGCCCAGCTCACTCCCATGCGGTCCCCGCACACCCCAGGACCCCAAGGCCAGCCCTCAGCAGGGCCCGAACCTGCCGCTGTGAGGGAGGGGAGCTCGGGCCCTCCTGAGGGACTCAACAGTTCACTGGACCCACCATGAAAAGTCCGTATTTCCACAGCAGAACCAAGGAACAGTGGGGAAGGGTGGTCTCTGGAACTCTGTCTTGGGAGAAAGGCTGAGGACAGGTGGACACCAGATGAATTCGTCCAGCTCGCACATGCACACACACACACACACAGGCCAGCCTGCAGAAGCCCAGAGGACAAAGCAACCAAATCCCCTTTCTGAGCCAGAAAGGCAGACTGCCTGCAGTGTGGCAGGCGGCCTGCGTCAGGACTGGAAGAGCCCAGCTAACTTTACAGGGTGCTGAGGCAGGCTTACATCCGCACAGCCAGCTCTTGCACAGGCCAGCCCCGTGCCTGACAGCTGTCCCCCCAGACAAGTGAGGGCTCGTAAACACCCACTGAGACAGGCACTGCCCCGTGGCTGGCCCAGGGCAGCTTGAGTTACCGTTTATATAATCTTCCAGGGCTAGGGCTGACACAGTCAACGTGAGGGCAAGGTTATGAAAAATGCATGTCCAGAGCCTCTGCATCCATGAAAACAAAACAAAAGAATACAAACAAAACCCCACCTGCATTTTGCACGACTTGGTTTTAAGACTGCTCTCACATTCATTTTGTGAACGAACAGGATCTGGGAGCACCAAGAAGCCAGTGACAATACTTCCAGGCTCTGCCCACAGGCCCCAGGGCCCACCAGGCTCACCTTAAACAGACCCCAGGTCAGAAGAAGCCCCTCTGATATCCCCATCTGGGGCATCTACACCCTGCAGGACACAGGAAGGTGCTCATTTAAGAGCAGCTCAGAGTCCCCCAAACCGCCCTGTGCGCACCTGGACAGGGGGCCTGCAGCCCCACCACTGCTTCTGCAAATACACAGCCGATCCAGACAGCCTGCGTCAGTACGGCCCAGAATTAGGAGTAAAGACGGAGCAGCACTATAGACACGCCCTCCACGCGCCCACTCTCCAGCACTGGCCCACCCTGTGTCACCCTTAGATACCACACGCCGGGAGGTCCAGCCTCCATCCCCCAACCTTCACCATACAGATCGCCAGCACAACCAGCCCCCTACACCGAGGGTGACACACACGGCCGCCTAAGGCCAGGCATGGCCCTGGGCAGAGCGCATTTGCCCACCACCCACCTGCAGCCAGCACGCCCCTCACCTGCAGCTCGCACCAGGCCACCTCCACCCAGGTCTCCGTGTCCAGCCCCTTGTAGACTGTCTTGAAGGAGCCGCGGCCAAGTTCAATGTCGAACTTGAGGAAGCGGCCGTCCAGGGAGGTGGCCACAGCCTTGAGGTCGTCCTCGTCGTCCTCCTCCTCCTCGGGCTCCTCCCGGCGTGCGCGCCCGAGCTCGGGCCTCACCTCGGGCGCCTCCGCGTCCTCCTTCCTCGCAGACGCTGCCTCCTC